CAACTTGCTAAAACAGGAATCTCGTTTGATGATCCTACTTTGTATAGATCTGTAGTTGGTGCATTGCAATATGCAACAATTACACGACCTGAAATTGCCTTTAGTGTCAATAAGGTAAGTCAGTTCATGTGCTCTCCAATGGAGGAGCATTGGAAAGTGGTCAAAAGGATACTTAGGTATCTCAAAGGGACTCTTAAATATGGTCTTGTTTTTACTCCTGCTCGGTCATCCTCCTTCTTCAATCTTACTGCCTTCACTGATGCTGATTGGGCATCTGATCCCAATGACAGGAGATCTACCTCGGCTGCCTGCATTTATCTTGGCCCTAATCTGGTGTCTTGGTGGTCTAAGAAACAACTGCTTGTTGCAAGGTCAAGCACTGAAGCTGAATATCGTGCTTTAGCTCAAGCCGTCACTGAGGTCTTGTGGATCCAATCCCTTCTAAAGGAACTGAAAGTTCATCTAAACACTCCTACAGTGCTCTGTGATAATCAAAGCACAGTAGCACTGTCTCACAATCCTGTTCTACACGCAAGATCTAAGCATATGGAACTTGACATCTTCTTTGTTCGAGAAAAAGTCATCAGTAAAGCTCTGGTTGTCTCACATATTCCTGCTCAGCATCAATATGCAGATCTTTTAACCAAGGCACTGTCTCCCAAGCGTTTTCTGTCGCTGCGTTCCAAGCTCAATGTTGCTGATCCATCAGATCTGTCTCATCCTCCTTGAGCTTGTGGGGGGTGTATTAGAGAAGAGATTATATTAATAAATACCTTTATTAGTTCTGTTTTAATATTGCATATCTTTTCTGTATCTTTTCTGTTTTTCTGTTTTTCTGTTTACTGTTACCAACTCATCAAGTTGGCTAGATTGTTAGGTCTATATATGTAAGTGATATCCCACAAATATCATTATCTTATTTTCTAATCATAATACAGTCTATTGATTTTCTCTCAACTCTCTCTCTCATATGTTTGATCCAACTTTTTTTTGTTTATATTCTCCTTAAAAGGAGAAATTGGGTCAAACAGATTTTCTTAAGAGCTCTTAAAAAATGGATCAAATTAATTTTATAAAGGAAAAGGAAAACAAGTAGCTGTATTAAAAAAAAAAAAAAAGAGTTAGGTGAAGGATAGTTTAGTAGGGGAAAAATAACTGGCTTTTCTTCTCTCTCTCTCCCCTCATAAGCATACTCAACCCACTCTCTCCTTTCTTTCACTCCTTGCTCTCTCATATATCTCTTATATCTCTCTCTCCCAGATCTTGTTCTCTTCTCTCCATCTCTCATCTCACTCTCCCTGCTCTCTTTTTCTCAGGTCTTCTCTTTTTAGCCAAAAGAAATGAAAACTATTAAACACTCCTACTTTATCTTTAAAGCTTTCATTTTGAGTTTTAGTAAGTCAAAAAAAAAAAAAAAAAGTTGGGCCAAAGCCTTGGATAAACATTTGAAAAAACTTGTTACGCTTCATTTTTCGGTGGAAGATAGAGTTTATAATATGTACAATGAAGCCATAATTCAGTTAAAGAATGTGGGATTATTTGACTTTATTCCATGAATTTTGACTCAGTTGCATGTGATTGTGAATACTGAACCCATTGTTTTTGATTGTGAATACCAAACGCCTCCTTAAGGAAAAGATAAAAGGATTTGGCTAGGTATCAAGTCCTCTTCGATTTATTGCTGGTTTATAATTTATGAAATTTGAATTTGGTTTTGCATTCAATAGCTATTGTAGGAGACATAACACCATCTGATGGTGTGCCGAAGGCTGAAAAGAGCAGAAGGGAACAAGAAGCTTTGAACAAAATGTGTGAACTTCTTGGTGGAGGGATGAGAGGTATTGTAAATTATTTTTCTTGGAAATTTTACAGAGATTCCAAATTTGGCATCAAATATATTTGATGACACTTTTTTGTTTTGTTTTGTTTTGTTTTTTTTACAGCTGAAGAGATAAAAGAACTTTGGGCAGAGTATGAAAACAATTGTTCACTAGAGGCAAATCTTGTTAAGGATTTTGACAAGGTACACATATGCTACCTAATATGGGGGTGCCTGTTTTGTGTGAGCCTGGATATTGGAACCCAAATTAACATGGTTTTAGGTTATGGGCAATATGACAGAAGCAGGAAAGTTAGATTTAGAAAAAGAAGAAAAAAATGATCTTGGCAGTAGAGATGATGATGTATTGAGTTTTTTTGTTTTTGTTTTTTTTTAATGAGGGTGGGAGTGGAAAAGAAGCTCTTTTGAGGATGTGACCTTTTTTAATTAAAAAATGTCTTTCAGACTTCAGAGGGAAAGTAGAACTATCAACTATCCAGTGGTGAGATATGCTTCAAGAAAGAACAAAATACAAGGTGAAAAAATATAAATGTAACAAAGCTGCTCAGTCTCTTAGCTTGTCAGAAAGGGAAGCTTTCGTATAGCCACCATCACAAAGGATAGCACACGAACATAATGCTACCCCTTTAGGCTTAGGGACGATGAGACACGATTAAAGATGCTTGCAATTCACTCAAGTCAAATTTTCTGAAAATCCATGATGTTTTTATCTGTTTTACCATGATGGCATATCCATTATATGAAACCATCAGAAACTGCTTCAATATATAAGGGTACACCCAATGGTCACCAAGGATCCCAAAAATATTTTTTCAATAGGAATGTAGCTGTGTTGCTCTTACACTGCTAAGTGGTCTAATGTTTCTAAGCTAGATTTGATAACATTGTGAGGAAAAGTAATGTGGGGCCTGAACATTTTCACTCTAATCCAGCCTAAAAGACTAACTAGAGAGTTAAGACTAACACTAGCAGTAAAAGGGTCAAAGTCACTTAGTAATATTGAAGGATATAATTTAACGAGAGAAATGAAAGTGATAAAACAATGGGACTATACCTGATGATAATTCTCGTGGATGCTCTCTTGAATTTAATTGAATTTTCTTGTGAACTTACAGTAGCCTAACTTGAGTCTATTTTTCTCTATCACAAATTTTAATTTTCCAGGCACCCATCTCTATTTTGGTCAAGAATTTTAATTTTTATAGCCTCTTATCAAAGTATTTTCATTCTTTAGCACTAGAGTATTTCACTATTTTATTTAAGCTTGAGCAGTTAATTTATATGTAAAATCAATGGAAAATAGTCATTTTTTTTTATGTTGTCTTCTATTTCTAATATTGTCGTCAGCCAACTCACCTAAAGTTTAAGTGGTTTAGTGAAGGCTCGGGAATTACTTTGTTTAGCATGTTCCCTGATGCAAGTTCCGTTTGGGCTTGAAGCATAGACAACGAAAGGTCCATTTTTACATTTGTTGAAATTCAACCTTTATTTAGAAGAATGAAGCTGCAATTGCCATACTCCTGAGTCCTAGTCACATGGTAATTGGCTTTGTTATGTCTGCAAAATAGATTAAAACCTTTTTCAGTTTGGCCTGTGCTTCTTCGCACCACCTGCCTCAAAGCATTAAAACCCTCTGGTTCCTTGACAAATGGATGGATCAGATAATTTTTAAGTTGGATTATAATGGATATTGGCTGGATCAATATCCATCCATAAAATTGAATGGATGGATTGGATCCAATCTATCATTATTATATTTGTATAATGGATGGATTTACTTATGGATAGATGATGAATAAATGGATTGTTTTGTCACCCTTATCTTGATCCAAGATTGGACTTCCACCCTCTTGTACCATAACTTATCTGTTTATTAGAACGATATCTGTCATCTTTGATATTTCTGAAGGATGGGACATCAATAATTGGGTTTTGATTTTGGAGATGATTACTCGGAAAGACTGAAGTTGTCAATTGCACTTTGAACAATATTGGTGATTGGTAGCAATGGTAATTGAATGGAAACTGTAGAAATTTGATGTTGGGAAACATTTAATGTATGCTAATTTTACTGTAAATGAAAAGGCAGGTATCAAGAAATTGTAAGTACTAGACAATAATATAACCCAGCTTATGAATGTGAGTTTAGAGAAGTACGATGTAATGAATCCCATATGTAAAGGCATTATAATGTCCATCACAGAGGTTTAAGCCAAAATAGCTACCTATTTGAATTTTTTGAAATTTTGGGAAATTTAGTGAAGGCTAAATATGAATAGAACAGGCAATCTAAGTACTGCTCATAACACCAAGAAGCATGAAATATGCATTTAATTTAACTTAGGTAGTCTCTACTGTATTCAATTTGGTCAAAACAGAATTGGAGTTTTTTAATCATTAGATTTTTCATGCATTAAGACTTGCTTTACTTCACTTTAATGGTTTATAATTTCTATTAGTCTGGTTAACTGGTTGAAGGTTCGTAATTACTTGTATGCTATCAGGCAAATCACTTAAGAATTTTACCAAGGGAAAAAGTTTTGCATGTTCCATTGTTCTTCCTTCTCTGGTATATATCAACAATCTACTCTGATCTACTGGCTACTTGAGTGGTTTGTGTCTTTTGGTTGTATCAAACTTCTCTTTGAAGGTTTTCTCCCCTCTTCCATATCAACTTTAGTGCAAAACCAACCTTAAATCCTATAATGTAAACCCATCATGTTTCCAAAGCATACATTATAACAATCAGTTGTCCTTTTTGCTTCAATCAAACAGATTTTACCAAATTAAAAACATTTAGATTTTTCTACCTTGCATGGGTGGTAAGTTCCACACATAAACAATAAAAAAGAGTAGTACTAGACGCTCTGAATACTGGCTGTATAAAATAAATTACAGAGCATTGAAAAAGACTATCTATTCAGTAGTAGCAAAAAATATTTCACAGGCATGACAAATGACCTCTACAGAATCAGTTTTCACAATTTTTTAACACATTGTTTTTTAATTAAGAGAAACATGAGAGGGGTTAAATATAAGTGGTTTTAAACTTTTTGTAACACTTTTAGACAAACTTCATAGTTAAAGTGTAATTTACCTTATTTTTTATGGTTCATTTCTAATTGTATTGTTCTGCTCTCAACATTCTGATCAGGTTGAAATGATTCTGCAAGCACTGGAATATGAAATAGGTACGTTATAGATAGATATATTTACATATGGCCATTGAATTCCTACCGTGATACAACCTTAAGTATGGAATTCTTTAAACAGTTGAACTCCTCCAGCATTTTTACGACTGATGAGTTAATAATTGATAATTCTTCCTAAGTCGAATTCTTCTTTTTTGCTATATACTGTTCATGATATGCTTTGTAATACCAAGTATCTCAAACTACGCCGTACCTTTGCAGAACATGGAAAAGTGTTGGATGAATTCTTCCTTTCAACTGCAGGTAGAGTTGAAACTTTACTTATAAATGAAATGCTCATAATTTTTATTTGTCTTTGTCAACCAATTTATCTTTTACTTGGTCTTCAGGGAAATTTCAAACTGAAATAGGAAAAAGTTGGGCAGCTGAGATCATTTCAAGAAGAAAATCTTTATCAGCAAAAAGGCTAAGTTGATATAGTGTCTGACAAATGGTGCCATCTTAGCTTGAGTGATTATGGTTGGTCTTATTGACAAAATAGCTTGGTTAACCAGAACCAATAAGCATGGTTTTCTGCACAACCTGGTTCTGGAATTTTGACATAATTTGGGATGACGTCTATCTGTTGTCCCTGCCTGATAATTTCTTCTTTTGGAATCAGTTTTTGTCTTTCTTGGTGACGCATTTAAACATAACTTTTATTTCTGTTTTTTTATTTTTTTGTCAACATTGGTAATGTAAATTAATATATCATATCTTTAGGCAAGTGTTGAACATGTAATTTGTCCTAGAAATAGTTGGAAGTGTAAGTATCTTTGAATGTTTAGGAAACCTTCTCTCTCTCTCTTTTTTTTTTTTTTTTTTGGGTGAAATTAGCATATTCTTTGGTCGAAAGTTAAGCATTAATTCATTAAGGAATTGAGATTTATTTAAGGCTGTTTTCTTCCGACAAATACTTTTCGATATATACGGATCGAACTTTTGATCACAAGGAAGTCAAATTTAATGGGTTTTTTTTTTAATCAAATAGTTCAGCACTGAAATTTCAATTAAATATTAGTTTGAAACTTTTGATGGCAGCCGTATTTTTAATAGAGTCTAAATTATCAATTAGTGGAAGTTGTTTCAATTTAACATGATCTTAAAAGTTAAAACCAATATTAACTTTATCTTTTCTCTTTTAATTGTTTAACTTTCTTCCTCCTTCCATTTCTCATTGTCCCGTTGTTCTTTTGTGTTCCTTGCAAGTTAATTAAGCAAAATAAGTTAGATTTATTTTTATAACTAAATCGTAGTCGAATAGGCGGCATATATATAATATGAAGTAATAAATTGTACTACACAAAAAGTGTCAAATTAGTAATGAATAATGTTAAATATTATGATTGATTAATTAATAGTCTTTGTCTAAAAAAGTTAGTTGTCAGTATAGATATTGAGTCAATATTAAAAATATAATGCATTATATTAACAAATAATGTATTAAATAGTTTTTTCCAAAGTATTAAAAAAAATGTATCAAATACTATACATTAATTTTCTATACTAACACATTTTTATACTAGTATTTGGGGTGTGAAATGAATTCATTTATTTATCATCTATTTGATTCATTTACAAATAAATTCATTCAATCCATTTATTACAATAAAAATAAATAATGGAACAATCCAATCATTTCATTTAATTTTATAACTGGTTAATGATTTATCTACTAATTTTTCAAAATTTATTGGATTACATGAGATATTTCTTGGATTGATATTTAAAAAACTATTTTGACATAAATAAAAGTTTTGTGAATTTTAGAAAATTATATAAAAATATAATGACTTAAAAAAAATATTTCAAAAAAAATATTTAATTTTTTTTATGATGGATTAAATATCTATTCATGAAAAATTTGTTAATAAAGGTATTGGATATATTTTTTATTTTAAATAAATTTAATTTCTATATAAATTTTAATAAATTATTTTTATTTGAACCATTATAATCGATCAAAAAAGACTTATCCATTGGATTATTTTTTACCTCTAATTATAATGAAACATCAACGATTGCAATACTTATACAGTTATACTAGGAGTTTAATATCCTTTTGACAAAAAAAATGTACCAACGATGAAAATTGATATCCAGACCACTAAAATATGATTTTTGTTTTCGGTTTAACATAACATTACAAAATTTAATTTTGAAAATACCTTAAATTAACACATAACAACCTCATTAAACATCACTGTCGTTTTCTTTCTTTATCATTAATTAAGAATGTGTAAACCTTTTTATAATCTCAATATCAAGACACTATCACAATCATTTGTAGCAGACTATAATCAAGACAAATTAAAAGCTTAAAGCTGACAACATAAATTCACATCCAAAGCAAAATTTAGATCTCTTAATTATAATTCTTGTTGGAAGTGCTAGAAAATCCTATGATGAATATTATGGTTTTAAATTGCGGTTGCGATCGCGGTTGCAGTTACTGTGGTTGCGGGTATTGGGGTATTGCGATGCGGATTGCGGCTGTTACGGTGTGAGATTATTAATTATTTTCACTAAATATAAAAAATTTATAATTATCAATATATATTTTATTTTTAAAGATTTATACATTTTAATTCTTTTTTTTTATAAATATTCTATTATTTTAATGAATAATTTAATTTATTTTAAAATTATAGTATCAATTTATCGTATTTCCAATATCATCGCAATTGCAGTCTGATGTCGTTGCAGACAAGACCGCAATAGCAATATTGAGGCCACAACACGTGTTGCGATCCGCAATTTAAAACCATGATGAATATAGTTGATCATCACCGACAGTTGGGTCAACAAAGGAATGGCATCTAACTCTGAATCTAAAGTTTAATGCAGACAACTTTAATTAATTGAAGGGAACAATGGCCTTCTCAAGTATCGATTGAAAAATGAAAAAGAACAACAAAAGGATAAGAATAAAGTGAAATTATGGGAACAGTTATTAATGTTATTCTCAATTTTTTTATAATTAATTTTATGAATACTGTTCTGTTCCATTTCTCCGAATTGTGGTATTTCTTGTAAGTTTTTTAAGAGTAAATTATACTTTGAATAGATATGAATATTACATTATCATTTTCTCTTGTATTAAAAATTACGGTTACTTTTTCTATTGGACTCCAATTAATTACACTTTAACTATTTTTAAAATTTTCTGTTAAAATTTCGTTAATTTTCATTAAAAAAATTATTATCAAAACATTTTTAACATTAACATTAACATCATTTTAAATATATAAATATTACATCAATCTCCTTTCTTTAGTCAAAATAAATACTTTCTTTTCTTAACAAATACCGATGTTACGTTTTAATAATTTATCTCTTAATTTATCTATTTAATTATTATTTTAAAAATTATATTTAAAGTTATAAAAAATAATATATATATATATATATATACACACAAAAACA